GTGCGGGATACCAAAAATGCCCATGTGAGTACAAACAAAGGAGAGAGATAAAAGGTAAGGTAATAATGGTTATTATCAAATGTATATAAGGGAAAAATGGTATTTAGTGGTGTGAACACATGATAAAGCATATCATAGAAGGAAATGGTGCAATTAATATGCAACTTTCCAAAAAAGAGAATGGTGCAATTAAAAAAAAAAAAAAAAAAAACGGAGGAAGTAACGAATAATGTAAATAAGACACTAAATTAGCAATTTGAACTTTTAAAACTATCTATGATTTACGAATTAGAGGAATATAATTTATAGCATATTAATTGAAAGTCAAGATAACAATCTATCCTGTTTGTATCTGCAAGATATAACAATCTATTGTTTTTGTATCTGAAAAGTGAGACATAAATTTTTAAGACCATCATTTTGTATTTGGTAACATATTGATTTATCATCTCTCTAGTTTTCTATATTTTTAAAAAGCCTTGCCATTCGCACGAGAAGAAACTAGTTCATCATTAATTATGTGTATTTTCTTGCTTGATAAGTAGATTGTTTTCTTAAATTGACTATTCTCTATGTCCAAATTCAAAATTTGAACTCTTATTAACACCTCCTTGTATCATGGAGTGTTATATTGGACTCATGAATCCATGGATTTGTCCGAAAAAGCATCGTATAGAGGTAGGGTCAATGCTTTTTTGTGGTACTATTTAATTGTAAATGTATTATCAATTGCCTTTTTGTTATAAAGTATTGTCCATGTCTCTACAATCTTTTTTGGCTAAAGAAGTGTTATGCAAATTTCTCTCAAATTGATCTATTGATGTTGTATAGAGTATATGATCAAGAATGATTGAGCATGCTGTAAACCTAGTAATTGTGGGCCTATGGAAAGTCCTTCGATTTCTGATCCTTTTCGTCATCTCATTAATAAGACCAATATGATTATATGAAAAGGCATACATGAACATTTTCTTCTCCAAAGCTTTCTTAACTCTTAAATTTTTCCCTCTTTATATTCATCAACATAAAATCGAAGCAACTTGCTATAGATGTGGTCTTTTGGCTTTCAACACTCATCTTAAAGATTATTGCTTATCGAAGCAAGAAGGTTTGATGTAAAGAGACCAATAATCCATCCTTATAAAACAATAAAAACAAGAAGCTTGATTTTTATTGGGGCTCAATGAAAGAATTGTGGGTAATGGATTTATAGAGGCTCGCTTAGGCAGAGTGGCAGACATTTTTTATCTTAAAAAGAGCTTAACCCAATTTGCTAGAGTTTATTAAACCTTGTTGAGCTGAGTTATGGCGGGATTTATTCTTCAACTGCTTAGGTTTAATTGGACTCAAATGGAATTATTAATTGATCTTTAACTTTTCTTAGTTAAACTGCTCATTTACAATTGAATCAGCTCTCAGTGTTTCCTTAATGTGGAATGTGTTTTTTGAAGTTTGAAGAATGAAAAGGGGTGATTAAATATAATATGTTTCAATCATTAGAAATCATAGGGATATCAAATATTTGAAACTATGAGCCCACCACCATTTTTAAGTCCTTAACCAGAGATGAAGTCTATGTTAGCATCTTTTTAAGGTCTATCCCCATCATCATACTCAAATTCAAAAGTGTATAACACTAGAACAATCATTGGACTTTTTGCAAGCTAGCTCATATTGCATTTGCTCAGAGGGCTGCAGTGAGCCATTATGCTCATAAAAAACTTGTGAACAAACTTGGTAAAAGCATAGGATATTATAATACGTGACACACATAACAACAAATATTACTTCCTTCGTTTTTTTATAGTTGCAACACTTTCCTAAAATGGAATTGTCATAATAGTTGCAACACACTATAAAAGGAAGGTTTTATGGTGAAAATTGTATTATTACGTTTATCTAAGCACATGGCCCACTTGATTATACTCCTAACAGCCTCTTTACCCCATTTTAAGGAGAGATATACACCCAGGTGCATGGTGCACCCAAGGGTATTTGTTTGCTCACTTGATGATAAAATGAGCAATAATCCTTAAAATGAGCAAACAATACCCTTGGGTGCAACGTGCACCCGGGTGTATATAAGAATTTCTACATTTTAAGTGTATTATATTATGTGAGGTCCACTTTTCTTAAATACCGTGATAAAGTGTGTGTTGCAACTATAAAGAAACGGAGGAAGTACATTTAATAGTAAGTTAAAGCAAGACATTAACTATTGATATTTAGCATATTTTAAGGTTAGAATTTGCAATACTTCATGGAAGTGATCAGAGACCAGGTTATTATTATCATATAATGCTTTCCTCTAACTTTAGGCTTTACTAAAAGGAATTAATATAAAGAACATTGAAGAGTGAGAATTGCGGCATACACAGTTTGCCTACAATAGATCACTAGAGGACCGATTATCACTAATCTCTGTAGTTTAGCTTATTGAGTTTGTGACCATGGGCCTGAAAACTATTAAGTACCCTATCTAAAGCTGAAGCTGGAGACAGAGTGAAATCTAGAAATTGCTTGTGAATATGTCAAATTTTACAGATTGCTGGCATAGATTTATGGCTGAAGATTTTCTGCAATAATCTGAGAGCTGCAGAAGGATACCCTTTTTGTGTGTTGGGGGGGGGGGGGGGAGAGGGGGTTGGTGGTTAGTTTGAGCTGAGCTACAGCTGATAGTCCTTTCTTACTACCTCCGTTAAATATTAGTTGCAACTTTGGAATATTTTATATCTCACAAATAAATACCCCAAAGTTGCAACTAATAATTACGGAGGTAGTATTTTATACGGATTGTTAGCATGCAATTTAAGCTACAAAATTTTGCTTCAGCTTGTTTGCTGACAGACAACTATATGATGATGCTGTCCATAATTTTTGGTGTATCATCTAGGCTAGGACTCTCACCATTGAGTTCATATACTCTTATGGGTATTTTATGATGCGGAAACCTCATGTGCTAGGTTTAGTTGTTTTTAGCCTCTTAGGAAGGTTAATATATGTCATTTTCCTGGCTTCTAGGCCATTCCTTGGTTTGTTAGGTTTTATTTATTTGAAGTATTTTCCCAACCCTTTTGGTGGATATTTTCTCATCAGTATTGAATATGCCAGACATGTAATAATGGGGAAAAGGGTGTAAAGGTACCGTAGGAAATGGGAAGTAAACTATTATGTCAAACGCTTGTAGCAATTATCCAGTGACCTATACTGAAGGCATGAGGCAGAGATAGAGTATATCCTTTCTGATACCCTAGTCAATAAATAAGTTGAATAATATTGCATGTTTTATGTTTCTTTTCTTTTTTAATTCTTATTTTCCCACGTCTTCCTACTTGGTATATTTAATAGAATTAAGGAAATAACTACCACCATACCCAAATGGAAAATTGAGCATGTGTATACAGAAGCCAAATATCATGGGCTACTGGCAGATTTGAATTAATTGATAATGTGCAGGATTCATCTTGTTCCTTGGACTGATGATGGACAGGTTGCATCATTACATCAGAGAACTCCGCTTACTCAGAAAGACAATGGAGGCTGTAAAGAAACAAAGCCGGAGTTTTGATGATGCCAAAAATGGTAGTTCAGAGGATCTTAAAGCCATGGAGGAGGAGGTTGCTTCCCTGAAGTCTAGGATCAAGACCTTGGAATCTGAGTGTGCTGCCAAAACAGATGAGGTTAAATCTTCTGAATCTAAATCAGAGGCTTTGAAAAAGCAATCTGAAGGCCTACTTCTTGAATATGATCGGTTGCTTGAGGACAACCAGAGCCTTCGTAGCCAGTTGCAGGAAATTGGTCAAGGCCTTGCAAACTCTGATGGCAAGAAAACCATGTAAAGCAAATGCCCCATGTAATCTCAAGATTATGCACCCTTTTGTTTTATGGTGTAAATCAGTGCCTAATTAGAAGATGCCCGCATTGGCACATTACTCATTGTCAATGGTGTGCGAATTTAGTTAATCTTTGTTTTTCTTTAATATAACTCCATATGTAATAGACCTGCCCAACTGCATCTTAAATTTATAGTTTTAACAGGGGAATGTTTGTTCTTATAGAACTTATTGATAAAAGTTTTGAACTGTTTGAAATCCTGGTTCATAACCTAAAAACTCAAGCTTGGTTGATCATCATACTCTGGTTTTAACCTTTTGTATTCGTTTGAATATGTTGTTCATAAAGAAATAAAAGCAAAATAGTTGAAATCTACCTGTACTCGGAATCAGAGATAAAATTTCCTATTGATGGCTTACTTGTGAACGGCGTCAACATGTCCTCAACAAGCTACAGGACTGAACGTATTAAAAACTGACGAGCACAAGGCCTCACAAGGAACATAACTGGGAATTGTCTGATTATCCCTCTTTTCTTCGTCTCATTGTTGGATTTGGAAATCATTAGAAATTATGTGACTGTCATTCAAGGATCAGAATTTTAGCAAGGTATGTAAATGTAATGTATTGAGCTCTTGAACCGACACTGCCTTGTTAAATAAGAAGATCTAATGCAAAATAATTCCAATTACATGTTATTAGTAGACCTAAAGAAATGAAATGCTGTTTATAACCATATACATACGCTCCTCCTCAAAGGCTACTTGATGTTCAATATGTTGCAAACTGTGATGAAATAATTAGATTGTAGCCTAGAAATGCAAATTCCGGCGATGCTTTTGATCAAGCATGGCTTAGGTATCGGTTCTAGTGTCCTTGAACAAAAAGTTACTTAGAATCATATCATATCCCTCCTTTTCCAGTTCACAACCTTGCAGTCATAACTTGTTCAAGTGCTCATTACCGTGTCATACTGTCATTATCCAAATTAAGAAGGCTGTTCTCTATGTATTAGAACCTCTCTACCCATTGCAGACAGCACTTAAGGTGTTAAATTAATGATCAAGTTTGCTGCTTTCCCAAGCAAGATCAATAAGTTGCAGTTTATAACAATACAAAGAGAACTGCTCAGTTAAACATAAAACCCAAATAAAATGATACTGCATGTGATAGTAGAAAGAATGTGAATGAAACAAACATTTGGTCTAATATCTAATTGATGAAAATACATCCAATGGAGTACAATTCTGCCGGTAGAAACCGTTATATGAACGAGGACATCTATTGAGAATACAACTCAAAACTAAACAATAGAGGGGAAAACGAAGAAAAAGAAAGAGAATACATGCTAGAGAAAAAAAAATTTAAAAGGAAAAAAAAAGACCTTGCTTCATCAGGTCTTCAGATGCAGCTAAATGCTCTTATCCTCTATATCTAGTAACCTTTCGTCCATCCCGAGGAGGACATTTGACAAATATGGGAGAAATAGTCAACAAAATCTCCTCTTTTGTTCTGTAAATAATGCCATATCGCAGCAGCAATCATCGTATGTAGACCTTAATCAATCTTTACTGATGAGAACAGATAGTGAACAAAGTAGAATGACATAATGAATCCGATGGTGCCGGTAGACAACATAATCGCAACTGCCATGATTAAGGAATAGCCCAGATAAAGCAGAGCTGACACAGGTCCACTGAGACTCTGGAGATCAAAAACCAAGTAATTAATGGAGTAAAGGAAGACATATAGAGCAACAGAACCTGAAGCAAAGTATGCTTTCCACCACCAACGCCAATCTTCAACACAGAGATGCATGTAAGTTAGGACCACAGAAACTTCAGCACAAACAATCACCAGCAACAAGAGGACAACAAACAAGAAACCAAAGACATAGTAGAACCTTCCCAGCCAAATGCTGGACAAAATGAAGAAAAGCTCGATAAACAGGGTTCCAAATGGAAGGGTACCAGCACCAAGAACAAGCAACCATGAAGGGTATTTTCGAGCAGGAATTTCTCTGGGGATTTGATTGGTGCGCACAGGAAACTGAATAGGCTCAGCTCGGGTTCCAAGATAACCTCCAAACAGAGTGAGGGGAACTGAAATGCAGAACCAAAGGGAGAGAAGGATAAAATATAAAGATATTGGTATAGCACCAGTACTCTTGCTACCCCAAAGGAGGAAATTCAACATAGTGAGGATGACAAAGACAATCCCCGGGAAAAAGCAAGCATTCCACCAGGCAACAGACCTCCAACCATCGGGTGTTCCCTTGATGGTTTTCCATAGGTATACACCAGCGTATCCTGCAAGAGTTCCCAGCAAAAGGTATAGTATTATCATTCCTGTTAACAGCATTCCCCTAGATGCAGGTGACATAAAACCAAGAGCTGCAAAGACAATAGTCACAGCGGCCATTCCTGTAATCTGAACACCATCTCCAACCATCACACACAATAGCTTAGCATGCTCGGGTTCTCTAAACACATCACCCACAACAAGCTTCCATCCTGACAGCTCCTCGTTCATCTGTGCTTGAGCTTCTTTGTCCAGTTCCTCATACCTGGTCAAATCTCTTCTTACAGTCCTCAAAAATATTACAAACACAATTCCAGCCAAGAAAAAGATCACCATGAGGGAATTCAAAATGGAGAACCAATGCACCCGTGCACCTTCCATTTTTAGGTAAGCATCCCATCTAGATGGCCATCTAGTACTACTCTTCACAAACTCAACCTCATAAGTAAAAGCAACTCTCTCTTGCTCTCTTATGATTTGAGACCTTTCAAGATCCCCTGGGCAATTGATCGAATTAATATTATCATACATGTGAAGTTTTGACATCTCTTCAGGATCATGCTTGACACTGCAGGGAACAACCTCAAAACCAACAATCTCATAACCATTCGTCTTTTTCTTGTCAGCCTCTGAGATCACTCCCATACCTTCCTCCCCTGTACCAATAATCTCCACAGTACTTCCTTCATATTCGTGAATCAAAACCTTAAACTTCAGATGATTTATAATGTAATCATCATTGCTGTTTGCTGGAGAATATCCAATTGGAAACCCAGTCCATTGGATCTTTACACCATTTTGGTTTGCATACCTCATTGCAGGGAGATTATCTAAAATCATGTTCACCTGATATAGATCGCGAGTTCTCTGTTTCAAAAGTTTCACCTCCTGTTCATTAAGTTGACTAGTAATACACAAGAAAACAGACTCGTTCTTATTCATCCGAAATCGGTAAGGGGAGTTGTCAATCTGATCTCCCATGAGAAGCTCTCCGAGATTCTCTGCACTTTTCTTAACCCCATCATGTGGCTTACAATACGGAAGACTGTAATAGCTAAAGGGAAGCTCAGTCTCAATGGAAGTCAGCGAATTCACTTTCGCATATATTTCATCATCATTGGAGTATGTGTGCATGTAAGTCCCAGGCAAGTAAAATCCATCACAAACAAAAGCAAATAGGAACAAGCACAAGAAAACCCGGTTTATTCGCAGCATCCTCTTCTCCAAAGAAGCCATTGCAATAGAAAACCAGCAAATCAGCTCAATCTTCAATTCAACCTAACTTGATCTAAGCTATATAGCTAATCCAATCGTTTTGCAGCATCAAATCTACCTATAATTTAACAATACACATTTTATAATAGTCAGGCCAATAAAACAGATCTAAAAAGTGCAAATAACAGTACTTAAACAACCAAATTCCAATAGTACAATCACATCAGAATAATTAAACAAAATCATTAACAAAACCCACCAAATTTCCTTTGAATTTGTAAAATTTACACTCCAAATACATTCAAATTTCAGCTACAGTTATCATAAATTGAAAAAAAATCACTTTAATAATCTTGAATTACCCAAACTAACCGAAATCTACCAAAAAAACTTATATAACATGCGTTGCTTAAGATAAAAACAACAACAAAATCCTAATGCAATTCGATGCAACAGACAAAAATAATTAAATTAAACATTAACAAGAAATTAAAAATCAAATCTGTATATTAGCCAATACTAATCGAAAACCCAAATTCATCAATTAATCTAAAACAAGAAAAATTTAAGTAGAAGATTAAATTAGGGCTAGAGAGAAGAGAGAAGGGAAACTTGCCTGAAGTAGATCTCGATGAACTTGAATGAGATTGCAAAAGTGGAAGATTCGAGGTTGAGATTTTATGAATCGATTTATTTTTATAAAAATGTTTTTTTAACGGAGAATGTGATTGTACAACTACAACTTGTATACTGCAAGTAAGCTTCCACAACATATGAGATTTGAGGGATGATTGGCAATTTGGCATGGCATAATGAGGACATTTTTCGGAATTTAGGGATGTGTTTTAGGGCGTTTTGGTAAGGTTTACTCGTGGATCAATAATAAGGGGCCGTTTGGTTAGGATAAAGGAAATGAAATAAACAAATAGAAAGAAAGAGAATGGAATAAAAATCCCTAAAATTTACTATGTTGTTTGTTTTAAAACACAAAGGTAAACAAGCCACCTTCTCCGGCCAACCCAACCACCAAATCGCCCTCTACTTTCTTCCACTTTCCCACCTTCTCCAGCCACCCCACCACCTAGCCACCACTTGCTGCCCCTTTCCCACCCCTCTCAGCCCCTCCCCCTCCCCCCCCCCCAAAGCCCTCCCCTACCCCGAAACCCTCCTCCCACCCCCTCTAAAACCTAAAAACTGCACCACCTTCCTCGTAAAACGGTCGACTGACCCTCCCCCACTTGTGGCCGACCAAAAACCTAGCCAAACATTTTTGGCCTTAAATGATCCAATTTGAGGTCAAAGCCGACCAAAAACCTAACCAAGCAATTTTCACGATTTGAGAATAGCACCACGCAAACCGAGATATTTTTTAACACACAAAATAAGAAAATTTTTTTTATAATTTTTTTAATCAATTTTGATCTCAATACAAACCCTTAAAAACCAAAATGAACGCCAAAAATCTAACAACACAAATCTCTCGGCTTGAAAATATCATCACGCAAACCAAGGTGTTTCTTAGCACACAAAACGTAGCAAATTTCCCATTATTATTGTTTCTCATGTTTTTGTACCTCAAATCAGACACTTAAAAGCCAAAATGACCCCTAAAAATCTTGGTTAGCAAATGAGGATTTTTTTAATGGCTCAAAAGTGTTAGAAAAAACCGTTAAAGGGTGGTGAAATCTACTTGTATTTTTTTGGATGATATTTTAAAATAAATATTAAAAGGGGTGGTTAAATAAAATAAAATATGGAATTTTATAGGTGGTAGAATACGAAAAACCCTTCACGTCAAAAAATAAAAAGTAAATACACAAAATACCCTACATTTAATGACAAGTTTTCGAAGCTCCAAGGTGGTGTTTTTCATTTTGGGCTTTCCTTTAGAAAACCCTGTTGGGTCCAAAAAAATGCATCTTCAATTGAGAAAAGCTACCTAAATCTTCTTGGCCCGCTTTTTTCTTAGCTTTATTGGTTCAAAGTCTTCTAACAAATATGAAATATTCATTGTAAATTATGAAAGTCAATGTTGTCATCAAATACTTTATAGGTAAAAATTATGCACTTTAAATGGTTAAAATCAAAGCTTAGTGATTGGAAGTAATTATATTTCCGTTATGAAACTTATCCCGTTGTCTATTTACATTAAAATCATACTTAGTATCAAGTTTAAAGTTACTCAAAAAAGGCCAAAAGTTAGCCTAAATTGGCTAAAAGTTACCTTAATATTGTTCAATATACACTAATATTAATGCAAATTGGGTGTACACAAAAGTTATTATATTTTGAAGCATCAAAAACAAAAAGTTGAACTATAATGGGACAGAGGGATTATCATTAATAGAAATAGTCTAATATCATATCATATCATATCATATTACTAATTACTAATAAATAAAGCCGAATCTCGCAGCCATGTCACGAGACAACGACACTTGCCATTCCAGTTTTTTGCCAAATGTCGCGCCACGTAGCCGACTAATAGGTATTAATTAACACATATGATGCTAAGTTGCAAATTTTGGATAGATTATTGTAAGATAAAAATGTTGTATAGAGCTTTATTATCGATATACTTCTAATATTTCATTTATACAAAATTAATCATAACTTTTGATAAATATCCTCTAACTCGATTCTATTACCATCATAAAATTTGTTTTTAAAAGTTCTTTAAAATAAGATCCATTTAATTTAATTTTAAAAAATACTAGACAATTAATAAAAATAAGTTTTAATCAATAAAAATAATTTTAGTTTGATAAAAATACTTTTAATTTAGTAAAAATAATTTAAGTTTGGTAAAAATACTTTCAGTTTAGTAAAAATAATTTAAGTTGAATAAAAATAATTTCAAGTTAATAATAACATAGGTATCTATTAACCAACAAAACTACAAAAAGTACACTATTATAAAAATAAGTAATTTGTTATAGTATGTCTAAATATCCTAGATTATAAAAAGGGATTTTATGAACGTATTTAACATTCAAGCCAAAAAGTTTATTCTAAAATTTTATTAACAATCTGGGCAATGTCCGGGCACAAATAAAATTGTTGTATAAAGTTTTATTATCGAAATACTTCTAATATTTCATTTTGAAGAAGCCCCATTTTATCTCTTTGATAAACAAAATTTGTTTATCAAATGACAAAATTGTAAATAAATCAATAATTTTGCCTAGTCATCATGGTATATTTGTAATAAATCAACTATTGTGGGTCTATTTTCTAGTCATCATGGCAAGATTGTAATATTGTGGGGTCCATATTTGTTAAAAAGTTGTTGATTTATTTACAGTTTTGTCATTTGATAAACATATTTTCTCATTTCATATATACAAAATTAATCATAACTTTTAATAAATATAGTCATCATGGCAAGATTGTAATATTGTGGCCACACCATTTGGCTAACTATTATAAAGGTTACTTCGTTAGTGCTATAGGGGTTACTTGGCCAGTGTTATAGGGGTTACTTAGTCAATGTTATGGGTTACTCGGTTATTATTACAAAGGTTACTCAGTCAGTTTTATAAGGGTTACTTTGTCCGGCTACATGGGCCAGCCGCATATAGAACGTGTTGATGATTTATTTATTAAAATAATAATAATAGATAATTAGTAAAAATAAGTTTTAAGCAGAAAAAATAGTTTTAGTTTGGTAAAAATACTTTAAGTTCAATAAAATTAATTTAATTTTAATAAAAGTAAGTTCAAGTCAATAATAACACATATATCTATTTACAAACAAAACTATAAAAAGGTACACTATTATATAAATATGTCTAAATATCCTAGATCATCAAATCGGATTATATGACCTTATTTAACATTCAAGTTACAAAATTTATCCTAAAATTTTATCAAACATCCGGGCATCACCCGGGCACAAAACTAGTATCATATCACTAATAAATAAAGCCAGTCTCGCAGCCAGGCCACGAGATATCGACACTTGGCATTTCATTTTGTCGCCAAGTGTCAAGCCACGTAGGCGACAAATATGTTTTATTGTGACACATATGATGATAAGTAAGCGAATTTTGGATAGATTTTTTAAGATAAAAATGTTGCATAGAGTTATTATTATCGATATACTTCTAATTTTTTCATAAATACAAAATTAATCATAAATTTTAATAAATATCCTTGACAAGTGTCATTTATGTCACTATTTTTTAGGAGTTTCTAGTTAGTTTTTCATAGATTTGATATCTTTTTACTTTGTTTTAAAAAAGTTTTTTTTTTTTACATTTGTCGTGTTTGCTTGTGAAATGTTTTTACCACACAATTTTGGCTTTTCTTGCATATTTTGATTGCTTCTTGCATTAGATTAAACTTTATTGGTTTATTCTTATTGTTGGATTTTGGGAAAACTCCTCAATATGGAGTGTGTACCATTGATCAATATATATAGAGTTTTACAAGACTACACCTAATCACGTTAGGAAACCTAGTACGATAAAAATACAAACTATATACAAATAATATCCTAATCTGCGACAAATACTATCATAACTATAATATCTATCACTCCCTTGCAGTCATAGCGGGAGGAGGTCGTACGCTAAGATTGGATCTAAAATCCAAAACTAAGTCTCGAGGAAGGTCTTTCGTGAAAATGTCCGCAAACTGATATCTAGAAGGAACATGAAGAACCCGAACCTGTCTCAAAGCAACCTTTTCTCGAACAAAATGAATATCCATCTCCACATGCTTGGTGTGTTGGTATTGAACCGGGTTGCTAGAAAGGTTGATAGCACTGACATTATCACAATAAATAATAGTAGCCTGTCGAAGAGGACAATGTAGCTCAAGTAAAAGATTACGAAGTCAACAAGCCTTAGAGACAACATTTGCTAACGCCTCGATATTCTGCTTCTACACTCGATTTAGATAAAGTAGGTTGACGCTTAGATGACCAAGAAACGACGTTGTCCCCAAGAAAGTAGCAATAAACCCGATGTGGAACGACGGGTGTCGGGATAACTTCCCCCGTCAGCGTCAGTGTGAGTAATCAAACGATGAAAAGCAGATGGATATAAATGTAAACCATGATCAATAGTACCCTGAACATGGCGTAGAATGCACTTCAAAGAATCATAATGAGATTCCCAGGGATCATGCATAAAAAGACACACCTGTTGCACCGCATAGGCGATATCATGCCTAGTGAAAGTAAGATACTGAAGAGCACCTGCTAAACAAAGTAGGATCTCGAAAAGGTGGTCCTGTATTTGCACTAAGTTTGGACTTAGTGTCAATTGGAGTAGCTGCAGGTTTACAAGAGCCCATACCTGTACGCTCTAAAATCTCTTGTGCATACTTTTGATGAGAAAGTAGCGGATAAGAAGGAGTACAGGTCACCGCAATCCCTAGAAAATAACTCAGAGGGCATAAATCAAACATAGGAAACTCAATTTGCAACCGAGATATGATCCCTTCACGCAACCTGTGAGAAGAGGTAGCTAAAATAATATTATCAACACAGAGAAGCAAATATGCCATATCATCACCCTAGCGGTAAGTAAAAAGAGAGTTGTCACATTTAGTAATGACAAAACCCAATTTGATCAGATAGTTCGCGAAGCGCTGGTACCAAGCTCTGTGAGCTTGTTTCAGAACATAGAGAGCCTTGCGGAGCCGACATACATAAGAAAGTGCTCTCCAATCAACACACCCGGAGGTTGATGCATATAAATAGTTTCCTGCAAATCACCATGTAAAAAGGAATATTTTGACAACTTATTGATGAATCGACCACTTTTTTTCCATAGTTAGACTTAGAACAATATGAAAAGTAGTTGGTTTAACTACCGGT